CATGTGATTTAGCATTTGAGTCCTGCTCATTGTTTTTTGAAACTGTTGGGTTTAGATATTGTTGTTCCATTGTTATTATTTCAGGTAAAAAAATGTCAACATCAAATGCATCTATGAGTGCTACTAGTGAAATTCAGTTTAGAAATCGAAAATGTCATTGTTGGGCGAGAGCAGCATTCAGGATTTTAGAATCAAAAGAAAATCCAGGGATGGTATACTTTGCTTGCCCTTTCAACAACACCAATGGATGCGGCTTCTTTGAGTGGTGGATGCCTTTACATAAGCAGCGTCAATAGTTGAAGATGATAAGGGAGGAAAGCGATGAAAATGGTACTAGTAATTTACAAATAAACATAATAAAACTTCTTATTAAACTAACTTACGTCATAGGCGAGATACATAAATTGAGGTGACGAAGCATTAACTTAAGGAACACACGTCGAGAATGGAGGAAGTTGAAGAGGACTTATTGAAAATAAAGGAACCGATTACGGAATATTTGGCGAAAACAAAGGAGGTGGTTCAGGAGCACTCGCCGAAAATAAGAGAGGAGGTTCAGGAGCAACATACATGGGAGTTTGAAAAGCATTATGTGAACTAGGTTAAGGAGCAACAGACATGGGAGTTTGAGAAGCATTATGTGAACTTGTTTTATTTTTCTTTGCCAACATAAGCTCCAAACCACCTTTTGTCTGCCTTCGTCCCTTGCTAGTGCATTCTCTTCGCTTGAGTCCTTTTGCTTAAACTACATTTGCATCCGCTACACCATCCACTTCTAAGCTTTCGAGGCATGTGTCGGGAGGGCTTTCTTGTTCAATAGCATCTGAAAAAGGCATATTGAATTTTGCACTCAACATGCTTTCAATGTTTGCAATTAAGTCATCCGCTTTCTCTACCGTCAAGTTGTATGTTTCCTCACTTTCAGAAGCTCTACACACTACTGCTCTGAAAATTGCCATCAATGATCTATAACGTAAAGTTTGATGCAATCTTATATCAATCTTAATATCATGCCCAGACCTATCTTTTACATTTTCAGTTCTTGCTTTTTTAGTCCATCTTTTGAGAATATATTGGAAGGAATTCCTTTGAATTTGAGGGTGTCTCTAAGGATTTTCAAACAATGACTACACAAAATACCTTTCATTTCAAACTTTCTACAATTGCGAGTGAACCATCACACTCCACTCTCACCTTCTTTACCTTTACACCATCACTATCAAGAACCGTATAAACGGTACTCTCACCATCATGTTCAGTTTCTTCAATGTTTACTTAAAGGGACTTGACATACTTATCCTGAATTTCTTCATAAATTTTATTTGTGTAAACATCTGCAACTTGCTCCACAATCTTCACTTTAATATTCATCTTTGGTAACTTTTGGCATAGAACATATTCAGCTTGTAACTCTTTGTACCTCTTCTCACAAAGAACTCGATCAAAATGTATGAAAAATTGCATTAAGTTATGATCAGACTAAATGAAATCCTTCAAGAATGCATTAAAGGATTCACTAAGTTGGGTGTTACTCATAACTGCACCCCATGCATTTCTAACATATAGCCAACCCCATTTTTCTTTAACCCCAAATGTTAACTTCAACCAATGATTATCTTGCACTTCATACTTGTCAAGCATTTCCTCCAATTTTAACGTAAAATCATCCTCATTCTTAATGTCGTACATAAATTTGGATAAAACACTCTTCATCCCTTTATCCTTCACCTCCGTATCCTTGAAGATAGAATTTGCATGCCTTAATGCATTTTGCATCAAATGCCAAGTGCAAATGCGGTGTTTTGTGTTAGGCATGACAACAGGTATGGCCTTAGCCATTATAGCATCCTGATCTGTAAAAATTGTTTTCAGAGCCTTACTTGACATTGCCTCCAAGAATCTTCTAAAAAGTCATATAAAAGAATCGGCAGTCTCATCATACATGCAAGCTGTGCCAAATATAATAGTTTCCCTATGATGGTTAAATCTAACAAAATACGCAAATGGTCTATGTGCGCTATTTAACTTGTAAGTAGTGTCGAAAGTCACAACATCACCAAATTGCCCATAATCCATGATCATCTGAGCATCGGCCCAAAATATGTTTGTAATTTAATCCTCGCTATCTAATTGGACCGAGTAAAAACAAGATGAATTCTCCAATGTTTTCTCACGAAAATATTGCAAAATGCTATTTGCCTCCCCATATGCTAAACTCTTTTGCCTCTTCATTCTCAAATAATTTTTTTGGTCCAGTTTTGTGAACCCAAGCGACTCCCTTCCACTAGCTTTATCACCCATGAACTCACATGCAGCATTAAACCAGATTCTAGATTTTTCGGCTGAATCTATTTTGATTGCCTGTGATGCAGATATCTTCCTTTGGGATAGTAACATATGCGTACATTCTGCTGGTACAAAGATATGATTATGTTGTTCAACAAAATCACCAACAAAAAAATTATGAATATTTCTATCCCACTTAATGATAAGTTGGGCTTGACAACCAGTCCTCACTTCTTGTCTAGGATTTTTTGTTAATGGATCTCGCTTGTCGACAACCCAAAACCCCTCCTTATTACAAACAAATAGCCTTGAAGTGATTTGCCCCTCTTTGCTCTTGTTTACATAACCCCTTCTAATAATAAAGCCCAATCTTCCTCCATTAGCGTTATAGAAATTATATGCTTCTTATTCTGTATCAAATGCCATATGAACTCTAGGTTTCCAATCACAATTACCCCCGTCATTCTCAACATTGTTAGGTTCCATATCAATATGCCAAGTCACTGAAAAAATAAAAAAGTGCTCAATATTAGCATAAAAACTATAAATTATGTTTGTAAAATAGTACAAACTGAATAAAAATACTGCAAGAATTGACTCATATTAGATTATATAAACAATGGGGAACAAATCCCTTCAATAGGAAATTATGTTTTCAATGATCCAGATTTAACCCAAATCTCTTAATTTTCTTATAATCAACATGTGAACATACAAAATCAAAATTAAACAACAAAAACAAACAAAATAAAAAAATAAAAAATAAATCTACAATTCTATAGCTCAATCATCAGTACTAGAGTCCATATATTTTAAACGTGACATTGTAGATCAAGTAGTTCTCAATTGGTCTCTTAAATTGCGGTTGGGAACCTAGATTTGGATTTGAGATAGGATTTTAAATTCTTAGAGTTTAAATGCCTAAACTGCAAATCTATGGAGTTAATAATCATTAGTTTTTACAAAAAAAATAAAAATGCAATATTTAGATATGAAAGATTTTAAAGCCTATTTAACAGGCCACTATTATATATATCTTCTATTTGAATAAATAATGAGTTGCATATAAAACAACACAGCCGGTTCTATTTCACAAAATTTAAATAAAAAAATTAAAAATTAAAACTCATGGCATTGTTTATGCAAATTACACAATGCGCTGCACATCCAAAAAACTTGAGCTTATGAAAAAATAAAATATTAAACTCAAATTGATGTTTTGAATTTATTTTCGATAAAAGAGGAATTTTAGATTTTAATCAAATAAACAATGAATATGGAACCTGAAAGGAAAGAGAGTAATGAAATACCTAGAGATATTATGCGAAAAGAGCCAACGGGAGAGATCTTCATTCAAAATTTGTGCACAAATCAACAATATAGAAAAGTAAAAAAAGGGATGAATGAAATGTTATTTACCTTAGCGACGGCGGCGATGGCACTCCTGCCTCTCTTCTTCTCTTTCTCTTGCAATCCCGCCTTCTGCTACTGCTACTGCTACTGCTTCTGCTATATTTGGAGGGAATTTTGAATTAAAGATTTATTTTTTACTTATTTGTTTATTTTTTGTTTTGAAATTACTAACCAAAACGAGTCGTTTTGGTTAGTTTTATTTTAAACCGTTAGATCTTTCACTTTACAAGATCACTTCAGGTATCCCACTTTAGAGGATCCTAATATCTTTAGGGCATGTTTGATTGGATGGATTAGAGCATGTGATTGAGATTATTAATCCGTAGCCCAATTATCCTGTGTTTGTTTTAACATTTTGGTTTAAGATTATTAATCCAATGGATAATTAATCCAACATTTTGGTTTAGGATTATTAATCCAATGGATAATTAATCCAACAAATTTGTAGGATTATTAGTAATGGGGTAGGGATGAGATTATTAATCTAATGGATAATTTATCCCATCAATCCAATTAGATAGTAAATACCACACTAATTTTGATAAAATTATTAATACTTCACCATTAACCTTGTGAATCAAACATGACCTTAAATTGTAACACTGTAGAAGATCCCGATACCTTTAAATTGTAACATAACTGTACTAATATACTTAACTTTCTATAGTTTAAAAATAATGATAATAATAATAATAAATAAATAAATAAATAAACAAAAATTCCCATTAGAATCATGAAGTGAACCCCATATAAATCCAAAACAAACTTCGTCTTGGACCCCATCTCTGCTGTGTTTGCCTCTCTCCTCCGAAATGTTTGATTGGATGGATTAGAGCATGTGATTGAGATTATTAATCTGTAGACCCAATTATCCTGTGTTTGTTTTAACATTTTGGTTTAAGATTATTAATCCAATGGATAATTAATCCAACATTTTGGTTTAGGATTATTAATCCAATGGATAATTAATCTAACAAATTTGTAGGATTATTAGTAATGGGGTAGGGGTGAGATTATTAATCTAATAGATAATTTATCCCATCAATCTAATTGGATAGTAAATACCACACTAATTTTGATAGAATTATTAATACTTCACCATTAACCTTGTGAATCAAACATGACCTTAAATTGTAACACTGTAGAAGATCCCGATAACTTTAAATCAAACATGACCTTAAATTGTAACACTGTAGAAGATCCCGATACCTTTAAATTGTAACATAACTGTACTAATATACTTAACTTTCTATAGTTTATAAATAATGATAATAATAATAATAAATAAATAAATAAATAAACAAAAATTCCCATTAGAATCATGAAGTGAACCCCATATAAATCCAAAACAAACTTCGTCTTGGACCCCATCTCTGCTGTGTTTGCCTCTCTCCTCCGAACCAAATTCGCCTTTCGCTTCTCAGCTTCCTTGGTAACAATTGCACTACTACATATCTCATATATCAGTTTCATTCACACACTTTCATTGATTCTTTGAGCTTCATTGTTAGGGTTTTCAATTTCTGCCCCATATTCACGCTAGTTGATATGCTTCTGTTTTCCTGAGAAAATGCAGGAAAGTAAAATAGAAAATTTGAATATTTACATTTTTTATTACAGGTGAAATGGAGAACCCAGTAGCGGATCAGCTTCCCGATGCGCATTCGTTGCCTGATGGGTTTGTTGATAGCTCTGCGGAGCCATTGGCCCAAGAAAAGCCATTGATTGATTATAAGGAGGAGAAATTAGTAGAATTAGATTCTAGACCTGAATTAGTAGTTGTAGTGAATGAGGGAAAAACTGAAAAGAGTGAGAAATCGAGAAGATTTCCTGTCCCATTATCTGAAAATGATGGTAGTGATGCTTCCAAGGAGTTGGAATTGCCCATTGAAGGCTGGTCAGAGCGGAGTGATTGTACATCAGCAATGCCTGAATTGAGGGAGTCGGACGAGAAATGTCAAAGTTCAGAGAAAGGTTGCATCCTGTATCTTAATTACTTTACTTTTACAAGTGGTAATCTGCTGAAACAAACACTAATAGCTTGTTTGGATTGAGTGATTTGATGAGAAATGATAAGAAAGAGAATTATTTATCTTGTTTGGTTTACAAATTAAAGGGTGAGAATGAGAACTATCTTATAATGCCACCTTCATTTCTCCAAATGATAAGATTTGGTGAGAAAACAAATTTATTGTCAAATATTTTTTACAATACCAAGATTGCCTATAAAATTATAAAGAAAGAAAAAGAAATCTCACCCATATCCCTATTTCACATGCTTTACTTTCTTCCTCATCTAAACATGAGTGAGAAAATACAGTTAATTTTTTTTCTTTTCTTAAATAGGTAAGAGACCACAATCATAAATTTTTTCTTTTCTCACCTTGTATATCAAATGAACTGTAATTTTCTTTTGTGTGTTGTTGTTCACCTTCTGCTCTTGTTAACATACAATGTGCATTCTAATTATCTAAAAGAAGGAAATTTGTTGGTAGATGCCAAATCATATATATTTCGGGTTATATGTGAGAAGACCCTTAATATTCGGTAGTGTTAGTTGGCAGCCCTTAAATTGGTGAGTTCCTGACGTCAGTTTCTTCCCTCTTACTTCTTTTGCAGCAATTGAAGGAACCTTAGAGACACAAGCAGCCCACATGAAGGAAACATCTTCAACTGAAAATGCCGAGAACAATGTAAAAATAGTAAGTAATATCATTAGACTTAGATTTCAGTAGATTTTAAATTTATATGCTGCTAGAGCCGCCTTTTTATTGTCTGTGCTTTCTCTTCACGTTTTTCCCTGCATACATAATATGATGGAATATTCATTTTCAATTGGGATAAAGTGGATTTTGAGTTAGTTCTGGTTTTATATATGTTAAATCACATGTTTGATTCATTGGAATATTTTCATCCAACTAGAAGTAACCTAGTTCTTCCAACTACTCTACATGAATTGGTTATTATCCTTGGTGTTTATTTGAATGTCTATATTAATGATAGTCCTCCTGTAACTCCAATAATTTTTTAGAGACCATCTAACTTTGAACATTAAAAACCATCAAGCAATCAGACTAGATTCAATATGTTGCACAATGTGCACGCAAACTCTCTTTTGAAATAGATATTAATTTAATGAAGATATTGGGAAAAGTTACACCTTGTTCCTGTAACTGATCATCGGTGTTTTTCTATTATATATGTTGCATTGCATTGATAAACACAAATTTTCATCTGAATCTATGAAAATGTGTGGTCACAACTACAATATTTTATTTATTCATGAAGTCAGCATGTTGTTAGTTAAATACCTATGAATTGAAGATAGTTATTGGATCTTGCAGATACATGACGCCTACCACTCTCATAGATTGAGAAGCAAGTTTCCACTTGCTAGCTAAGCATCTTATCTGACTACGGTCGTTTTGTTAAGGATGATTGATAAATCTGTTATTCTGTCTCGCAGAAGTTGGCTTTATAGTGATCTAGTTTCATTTGTTTTCTTTTTCTGCCACCAATTGCCCAATTGCAATGTACATAGTCAATTTTTTTGTGCGTCATTCTTTGTTGTTATAGTGGTAATTTAATGGCTTTTTCAAGTTCTCTTCTCATAGATTGAGAAGCAAGTTTCCACTTGCTAGCTAAGCATCTTATCTGACTATGGTCGTTTTGTTAAGGATGATTGATAAATCTGTTATTCTGTCTCGCAGAAGTTGGCTTTATTAGTGATCTAGTTTCATTTGTTTTCTTTTTCTGCCACCAATTGCCCAATTGCAATGTACATAGTCAATTGTTTTGTGCGTCATTCTTTGTTGTTATAGTTGTAATTTTATGGCTTTTTCAAGTTCTCTTATTGGAATCTCATCTAATATTGATTTTGGTCTTTTCATCATCTGTTATGCTATTCTCCAGTTGTCTATCATGACTTGGAAATTTTGAATGTATTTTGTGATATGTTTCATATGCTGTTTTCTGCTGACTCCTTATCTAACTATCAAGAGATAGTTTGTAGTACTTGTTAAATAATTTTTATGGAATATTTCTATGCCAGGAAACCTCCAAAGTAAAACGTAAGAACACAAAGCGTACCTGTAAATCTGAAAAGGAGTTTCTAGAGTTCACTTTGAAATATCAACAAGTTCTTGCGGAAAGAGATACAGGTAGCTTATTTTATCAAGAATTCTGTAGGCTACTGGCCTCTTGTTCAATGAATAATGCTTGCACTTACTCCGGACATTTTGTTGGTTATCTGCTAAACTTGTTTATGTGGTTATGAATTCACCCCTTTCGTTTCTTTCAATGATGTTCATGCTAATAGTTCTGAAAGTTTATTAACACCAAGACAGTCATTTGGTTTATAGTAACCGTTTGTCTTGTATGTCTATATGATATTATTGTCAAGCTGCATCTGCGGTAAGAATAACAAGAGCAACTTTATTGATGGAAGGCTTCTGTTTGTAGTTCATGTATGCTATTCATTTTGATTAATGATTTTGCCATTCATTTTAATTCATCCACATAAGATGTTGGCATCTACATTCAAGAGAAGTTAAAGAGTTCATTTCTTTAGATGTCACTTACCATTATACGACATTTTTGCATCCAATATTTGTTACTAAATTGTTTATTTTTCTGAAGAAAGACTTTTTAGTACATCAATAAAATAATTTTGTTAATCAATCACTATCATGAGAGTTCTGAGGGTGGTACCATTTGAATCAAGTGGTGAGGGGGAGGGGTGGAACCTAGTAACCTACTAGGGTACTCAGGTTTCCTATGACAGTTTCTGAGGAAGATGCTTTTGCGAAGCTGGTGCAAAGAATTGAAGTTATACAGAAGTGTGGATTGAGGAAAATTGAGAAATAGAGGCTTTGTTATTTGTTGTCCATGTACTTCACTTCTCGTTGGGTCAATCTTTTTTTTGTTGTCCCTTCTCTCTCATGTCTTGGGGGACTTAAATAAATTATTGGCTTCTGTTTGGCCACTTTGTGGTCTTCTGTTTGTCATGGATCCATTGACCTCTGTTCTGTCACTTCAGTGACCTCTGTTCAGTTCTGTACCGTGCTTGTGGTTAGTTATTTACCTAATCTCAGTTTTGCTACTTCAATGATTATTTGTTCAAACGAAGTTATTTTAAATAATTTAGTTTGAATAACTATTCAATTTTTGTTACTTAAATAATTTATTTATTCAAATTAAGTTATGTTAAGGTTTTAGCTTAAATAACTATCCATGGTCATTTTGTGCCCTTATACTCACAGTATAATATTTCTCACTCTACTGTGTGCTTATAGCTGTTACCCTTTTCAGATGACGAGATTTAGCAGGATCAAGATAGGGATGAATCATAGTGTTTTTTTACTTATTTACTATCTGTATTTTTTATCAGACTTTTGTAATAGTTTGGTTTTCAGTTTTGTCTTTTTTTTTTTTGGCAAAGAAATAAAGAAAAATAAATAAAAATAATGAATTGGGAATCAAAACGGAGGAGAGAGGGGACAAGGCACATGGGTGTCGTGGTGTAAAGGAAATAAAAGAAAAAAGAAAGAAATTGAGTGGGTGACCCAGTAGATAGGTTAGTGGAGAGGGGAAGGAATTAAAAAATTAAAAGAAATAGAGGCAGCCACGTGGGTGGGTATGGGAGTGTGTGTTGTTTGTCTGAGAGAGAGAGAAGCCTAGCAATCTAGAGAGAGAAGAGAGAGAGCCCCGACACTGGCCTAGGTTTCAATCGAAAAATCTCACAACTCTCTGAAATTCGACAAACAGTTCAACAACATCATTCGACCTCTTTCTCTCTTTCTCCAGATCAAATTGATTCTGCTGCGAGGGAGTATAAAATGGATACTGAGCGAAACACTCCCATTTTCGCTTCTGAATAACATCTTTGTGAAGATGGAGGGTGTTGAAGGAAATGGTGCTGTTGCCGAGTCTGGTTCTCACTCGGTGGGCGAAGAAGGGAAAGAATTGAACAACTGTGAAGCGGGTTTCTGACTGACATGGATAAAGCTCAAAATAGCTTGGAAAAGAAAGGTGATGGAACCAATTCGGAAGGAAGAAAAAGACCCCTGCAGTTCTTGGTGAAGATTGTTTTCAAGTTATGAATAATGAAACTGAGAACATGATCCCCTTGGATTCTTCTTGTGGTGAAGACTACTCAATTTTAGAGGGAGAATGCAGTGAGGAAGATGACAGTGATGAACAGTAGCATTCAAAGACCTGCCTTATTTTGGTTACAGGAAAACCCAATTTTAATTCTGGACCTCCACAAGATGGGTTGGAATATCTTAGGCGCGTAAGGTGGGAAGCAGCACAAATTCCCAAAGTGAAGGTTTCCAAGCTTGAAACAAGCAAACTGAGCAAAGAACAGACTATTAATCAGCTGTTGACAGAGATGGATGGGTTTTCGGGGAATTCGGGTGTGATTGTGTTGGCTGCGACGAATCGGCCAGATGTTCTTGATTCAGCATTGGTGAGGCCTGGGAGGTTGAAAAACTCCAGCGGGCAGCGAAGGCATGGTTGCCGGCTGGCTGCCCGCCGGAAAGAAAGGATATATGCCTAAATCTTATGGCTCTGATACCATGTAAAAATATTGAAGTATATTATTGATTAATGTATTACAAGATTGATCTATTCTGTATATTACAATTCCTATATATAGAGGAGAAGATGGTAGTGGAGTGTGTGATAGTGGAGGTGGTAGGTGTGGAGAAAAATAGTGGAGGTAGTAGGTGAGTGGTAAATTCTAACAGAGGACACAAGAAGATATGGTTGCTTCACATACTTCATAGGTTGATTGATGCTTTGCTGACTGTTGGGGAAAGCTCTTCTTTTAATTTGATTGACCAGCTAATTTTTGATAAGTTGTACATAGATACGCATTATGAGTTTCAGTCATTGGATTTGATTCACTGCTGGATAGATGGAATATTTAAGTTGTGTCAAATTTCAACCAATAGGTTGTTACTTCAGAACTTGAGTAAAATGTTGGATTTGTCTGGAAATGTTGACATATTATTCTTGAGAATTTTAGCACATGTTATCAGTACACACTTTAACCTTACTAGAAGTCTGAAACAACTCTAGGATGCAAATTTCCAAGATGATAAGTTAGCTTATTTTTGTATTTGACACATTCACATTCAATAAAATTTCTCTACATTTTATCTTGATTTCTCAGGAGCTAGATTCATCCTTTTCCAATAATTTTTGGACTTTGCTGATAAATAAAAAACAAAAATATTTTGTTTTTTTTTATTTACTAATTTCTTTTAACATACAAATTACCGTTTTCTATAGCCATCACTGTTCGAGATAAACTCGAGTCATTGTGCCGGGAGTTACAACGTCAGAACAAAATGCTAATGGTATGGTATACCTTTTCTTTCAGCCGCGGCTGCTTCAATTGATCATGTAGTAATGTTTCGTTTATATATATTTCTTCCCTCCTGCAGATGATCAGATTATGTCAACCATTTGGGATAAATAAATAATGTTTGCGGAGTTATGGTAACTCCTCCCTTCCTCCAAAAAGAAAGCCTGTCAAAAAAGAAACCACCAAAAAGTTTTTTTTTCCCATGCAAATTTAAATGAATTTTTCCACCAAGTGGTGTTGGGATATAGCTAGTGGAGAACACTGACTGCCAGAGAAGGTGAAGCATAGCTTGATTTATGTCCTTGAAATTGGTTACTTTTTCTGTAGACCTTGGTTACTTGTCTTGTCCATAACATCTCAAGGGTTATAAACTGTTTGATGGTAGAGTGTGAAATCTATGGATGTAACTAGTCAAAAAAGAAAGCCACCAAAAAGAAAGTATATTCTGCGTAGAAGAGTCTAGTTTGGTTGTTGTTTGGTCACTTTTTTATGACACTATTTTGGGCTATTGTGTGCACTCATATTCTGTTTAATGAAATCATCAATAGCCATTTTTGGCTTATTTGCACACTCATCACTTAGAAAAGTTTTTAAAATTCTGGATCATGTCATTTTTGGCATATCCTTATGGTTGATAGTTTGTGATTCAGTTTTTTTGAAATTTATTGAACAATTGCAGTGAAATTATTTATGGCCTTGTTTGGTTTGTGTTTCTCAAAAAATTTTGGGAAAAATTCTCTATAAATAAGTTTTCAAAAGTAATCAAACCAAACAAATTTTCCCAAAATTTTTTTCCAAAACTTGTTTTGGTTTACAAATTTTTCAAACAAATCTCTCTCTCATACACATCAAATCAATCACTTTTTCCAAAACTTTTTCTCAAAATAAATTTTCAAAACATCTTTTGAAAAAAACCAAACCAAACAAATTTTCGTACTTTTTATCTCAAAACATGTTTCTCAAATACAAACCAAACAAGGCCTATGTGTTTGCTATTTGATCCACATCTCAATTTATCTTGGTTGATTAAAAAGTTAAACCGTAATATGACTATTCATAATTTCTCTTTGCTTTCAGTTATTCTTTGTAGAGTTAGTGATGTCTTGCTCGTTGTTTGGCAGGATGAATGCAAGCGGGTATCAACGGAGGGGCAAAACTTGAGATTAGATCTATCAAGCAAGTTCCGCGACGCAATTAAGGTGTCCATGATTTTCCTTTTTTCTTTGAGAATCTTGCAATAGCATGGTAGATGTGTGTGTTCTGTAACTTCTGTTTACCATGAGAACGTTGGATATGCTGTAGTGAGCTGAAGAAAGGATGTGAGGTTGTTGGAGCTGTCTCTACCTCACATCACATCCTTCTCTTAGTTGTAGGAAACACCTTTTCCCCCTTGTGTAGCGTCAGCATTCTTGTTCCTTGTCCAATAAGTCCGTATCACCATTTCATTTATTTGTTTGTTTTTAATAAATCTACAATAGTTGGAAAGGCCAAAAGGAAAATACTTTTCTCAATTTCAAAGATTACTAGATGCCTAAATTGGGTTAATAACTGTTAGATAGCTTGATATACATTGTTGGGCGCATTTCCTAACAACTTAAGCTTTTGGAAAAATTGGTGACTTAACATGGTATCAGAGCTCTAGTTGAGAGAGGTCTTAGGTTCAAGTCTCTCCGTTGGTATTTGGTATTCTGTCCCCGTTTAGTTTATGTCTCTCTGTTTAGTTGTTTGCTTCTCCTTCTATTTGGTTATCTGTTTGTCTCTCCACGTGCAAGATGGGGTTGCACGTGAGGGAGGGTATTGGATAGCTTGATATACATTGCACTACACCACTATCACCTCCACTTCACCCACTTAAACCTACTCCACTAAACCTAACCCATTACACCACTACCACCTCACCTACTCCACTAAACCTTCACCCACTTAAACCTACTCCACTAAACCTAACCCACTAAATCCACATATACATTGAATTTCAACAGATAGCTTGATATACATTGTTGGGCCCATCTCCTAACAGCTAAGGCTTTTAGAAAAATTGATGATTTAACAATAACATGGTTTATTCTAGGTTTTTATACTCAGATTTTAGAACCTGTCTTACTTATGAATGCCTTTTGGTTGAAGCTCATAACTTTTTGTTGTGCTTTGGTGGACTTTTTGGGTTTGATTTGAAGTTGATCTGGTTCTCAGTTATCCTTAATGTATCTTTGCCTGTTAATCATGTCTATTGGAATATGTTTAGTCTTCTGTTTGGTATTTATGCTTTGCTTAATTGATTGGTAGTCTTAACTCACATGAAGTTCTTCATAGTATATGCAACCCTGGGGCTGCATCGGGCCATCTTTGATGAATATGGATGACCTGAAGATCAAGGCATCCTTCTAGAGAAGAAATGAAAAATAAAGAATACAAGAAACGCTAAGCCCCATACAGAAGCCCACTACACCTGTGATTCATCATGTTTTGTTTTGCACTAGTAGTGATCATTTAATGTTTCTTTCTATATTATTTCATGGATCAATGCCGCCTTCCTTTTTGTTTTTGTTTTTTGTTTTTTGTGTGTGCGCGCGCGCGTGTGTGTAATCTGCATGTGGTTTATTACATTTTCAATTGTTTTAAAATTTATTTTTGTGGCAGGAAGTAAGCAATAAGCTGGAAGAGCAAAAAGGTGATTCTATGTCTCAATTGAAGGAGAATGAGATGTAAGATTATGGAAACCCATGAGAATTGAGGAATTATACCGTGATAACGTTAATATATCAGAAATTATAGTGATACATTACGGGTAACACACATAAAGTGGATTTGAATGGACAATAGAACTTCATGGCCCTAAAGATTGTTTTTTGATGTTATCTCTCTTTCATCAATGGCATCGGCTTTGTTTCAAACAATTTTTTGATAAAAACTAACATCAAGAAGTTACATTGCTCTTCATTTAGTTGCAAGGGATTTATTTTGTGATCCTAGGCATCTTGAATTTGCTGCATTACTGTAGCTTGCATTCGTAATGCTATAGAGCTCCATTTGGTATGTACAAACAACTTGAATTGGCTGCATTACTTTTGCTTGCATTCCTAATTCTATAAAAGCCTCATTTGGTATATACAAAGAGACTGAGGCAGTATCTGATGTAGAATTCAATGAGAATGACCGATGAGTGATATGGATTGCTGTTCGATTGTTAAGTTGGAACAAAAAGGATTTTACGTGGAAAGAGATGATGCTTACTGATTCTGTCTTATTGAGCTCCATTTGCTAGCCAACCTTTCCCATGGAATTGGTTTCAAGTTGGGATGTTATTTATTCCAATACCATCAATCCTTCCGGGCTAGGGAAGCATGGGTACGGATGCAGGAACAAGTACGTTATGGATAAGCCGATATGGCAAATTCTAAAAAAAGTAAGCTACGGGTATGGTGTCGAGGATGTTCACAAAAATATATTTTTTTATAATTTGTAGTAGTACATGATAAATAGCAATTAAAAGATCAAATGGAAAAAGTAATTAAAGTATTTTTGTAATAGTTGAAAAAAAAACCCTATATGTTATTTTTGTAATTGCAAAATACTTTATATTTTTAAAATTTGTAAATATGGGCACAATATAATTGTTCAGTACCCGTATGTTTAAAAATATATATACATTTATGCCCCGAAGTACCTGCAACCGTACCCAAAATGTACCCCTCCTGTACCTGAGCCATGCCCGTGACGTACCTGCTCTTGTAGCCATGCCATGCCCTGCCCGAGGCATACCCAAAGTATTGCATATCGGATACATATTTTGCGTACCCATGCTGGGTAAGTATCTGGTACTCATATGGAAATATTTTCGGAGTACCTATGCTTCATAGCTTTGGGCCTAATTGGATCAAGGATAGATTTATTGGTCATCCATCTCTCTCTCTCTCTCTCTCTCTCTCTCTCTCTGTGAAGTCACCTTTATGAGGTTACATATTGCCTGTTTCCTCTCAGTTTTGATCGGACTTCTATAAGGTACCATCTTGAGTATGCAGAATAATACGCAAATTCTTCAAGTTCAGGTTAAGAAGTAATTTGAAGCAGCTTGCTGATCAGTATGCTCTTTCCGAAGAGCAATATGAACAGAAGGTAACTTCATTCTTCACATGTTTATAATGCATTTTGTAGGTTTTTGGGGTTGCTTAAGATGCATTCTTTGCAAGGGTCTCGATTTATTTTCACTTACGAACTTGTATGTGCAGTTGAAGCAGAAAACACTGGAACTCCAGCTTGCTGATTTGAAAATGCAGCAACAAGGGGAGAAATTGCTCCAGGAACAGTCCCAGATGATGTTATATGCAGAACAGGTGTCACAATTATTGGCAACTGAAAAGAATTTGCGCTTACAGTTAACAGCTGATGGAGAAAAATTCCAACAATTCCAGGTTAATTTCATTCCATGAATTATATATATATATATATATTTTCATAGCATTGTTTGGTAGAATGTTTCATCAAAATCTGAAAATAATTAAACATAGGAAGGACGAAATAACTTCTAATCCGGTTAATTCTTGAAATTTAACATCTAGAAATGGAGTTATTGGTTTAAAAGAAAGTTTCGTGCAGGATATACCTTGAAGATTTACAAAACCAAACCAAAAGCTTTAGAGAAAGGGAATTAGGAGTTAGTGGAACAAAAGGTTGGGAAGTTTGGCTGGAAGAATGTTTGAGAAAGAATGCGATTTGTGGATCTGTCGGGACAGGAGATATGGAAGGTTTACTGGAAGTTTTGAGTGTAAATTTACATCTTGTTTATTAAGAATGGGGCTATACAAACATCTTTGAAGTCATCATGAATAAGATCAGTTACCATGAGGAAATGTAAACAAATTTTAAAGTACAATCCCATATACAATTAGGTGGCCCTTGAGCCAAAAATACGTATAAGTTGCACACTCTGCCAGATGCACACATACTCATTATTATTAAATACACCAAATTCAATTGAATGTAGCACCTATTACTCATTGGAAGAGTGGTATGGTAATGCTTTAAGAGGGCTTAATTGTCATAGGTGAGAGGTTAGTGTATAAATTTCTTGTTGTGTTATGAACTTTTTTTAGTTGTCATAGAAGGTTTCTGATAGTTCAAATCACAATCACTATACGGATGCAACTTGGCTCAGTTCATTAGGTTTACCAAGAACCTGTGAGGCTTGAACTGAAAGAAACTCTGTTGGTTCACAAGTTCCTGCACCAACTACCATTGCTATGTCATGTTATCTGAGCAATAGTGGAGCCTATCCTATACTACTGTGTCACATCTCATGTGTAATTGTATCTTTGCAGGATGCTCTGGTAAATAGTAATGAGGTCTTTGAAACATTCAAGCAAGAGATTGACAAGGTACATTATTCCTTTTGAGGTTTCCATTTTACTTGCATTCGTTTTCTTGGTTGTTATATATTTACAGCAACTTGTTTAGCAGCAAGATGCATTTATAGAAGTAACTTGCAATTCTGCTTGTGATGTATGTAAACCTAGATGGCAAAATCAATAAAGGAACTCAGAAAGGAGAACACCTTCCTGAAGAGCAAATGTGAGAAATCAGACATTACTCTGGTAGAACTTGTCGAGGAGGTATGGTTTTCCATATAGAAATCAGACAATTTTCTTTTCTTTTCTTTTCTTTATTTATTTAAATTATCGAACGCCCTCTACAAGGATATGTTTATGCTGTTTATGATCTTTTAGTATTTGATTCTTGCATCTCTTGCAAAACTGTCAAACAATGCTGCAACATATGGTTGGTTAAAAACGTAGCTATTCTCACTAATCAAAAAAATGAAGTTACTCTCCTTCATCTACATCTTCATTGGTAGATAATGCAAGTTTTGATTATATATGAAAATTGTCCACAAAAGCACCGACTTTGTAGGAGATTCTATTTCTGCACATTATTTCCTCTCAGTGCATACATCCTTTTGGTTCAGAAATCAACTTTGGAACAAAATTATTTGGTTCGGCTGTATCATTGGTTCAGAAGTTGATTTCTGAACAAAAGTTGTTGGTTCGGAAATCAGTTCGGAAATCAACTTCCAAACCAATAAATTTTGTTCAAAAATTAACTTTTGAACCAAAAATTCGGAAATTAAGTGTGTGAATTAAGATAATGTGGAAATAGAGAAGTTCCCAGACTTTTTGGGGATATATCCTAATCAGTCTAAACAACATAGAAAACATCTTACCCTTGTGAATTCACTAAACTTGACTTCCTGGTACCAGGGCTGGTTTTTTTTTTTTTTTGCTATCCTGTTGTACTTGTTGATCGTCTGCTCTGTTTTTCTGTTCTCTTCAAAATGCTATCTGTTAGACACAATTGAACACAAATCTGAATATCTAAGGTCACTGCCATTTTCTGAGGATAGAGCATGTTTCAATTTCCTGTGGGTATGGTCTTTTGCGGTAGGACATCTGTTGCAGCCTGATGAGGCTCTGGAATGACCACTACTCACTTATTACATTTTCCCCCAAATGCTCGCTCACAAAATTTCCAACTATTGATTAACCCATTATGCCATGAAACATGGACACTTCTCCAGAGGTCACATAGTGGTGTCCAACACCTGTCGAACATGTTGGTCTAAGTGTCCCATTTTTTTTTCTTTCACTGGAGTATCATATATATATATATATATAATAAATATTTAAAATTATATATATTTTGAAATTTTGCATGTACCCCGTGTCTGTGTCGTGTACTTGTCTATGCTTCTTAAGCGGTTGGTTAACATCCATTTTAATTTATCAATGCTAATAGCTTTGAACTGATTTGTTCTGTATTACAAAGAGTAAACAGCATTTAGAATCTTTGTTTGACTGAACAGCGCGAACACTTGAAGAAACAACTGGAGAAAACTAGGAATCAGAAGGAAAAGCTTGAATCACTGTGCCGGTCACTTCAAGAAGAAAGGAAGCAAAATTCCATTGTGGGAGAACAAACAACTCTGATTCAGTAGCAGTTTTTGAATTCAGAAAGATGGGTAACGTAAGGGTTTTTGGGAGTCCTCTATTTTCGTTTATACCGAACTCTTTGGTTTTGGCTATGGCTTCCCTAATAACAAAAGCCGTCGATGATACTGACTGTATCAAATATAAATGTACAAGCATTTTTGGCATAAGTTTTCATTTATTTATTTTGCATATTTATCCAATCCATATTGCTGTGGTGGATTTGAAAATGAGGTTAAGACAGTATATCAATTGGTGCACTTTTATCAATCCACCATTTATATATGGTGGAAGTTTTAACTAAGGATTGACTGAGCAATAAAGATTTGAGAATAAAATTTAAGATTTCAAGTTCGAGTCACCTTAATAGAACACTAGAGGTTTGTCTAGTTGTTAATTTCAATATTCTTAGATTAGTTGAGGTGTATATAAGTTGGATCCAGATATTAGATTATATATATATATATATATATCTATAATTTAACGTGGCAGTGGCACAATGGTTAAGTGGTTGAATATTGGTGTTTTATTATGGGATAATTTTGTGAAGGTCTACGTTTGATTTTCACGAGCACAAAACATTTAAAACATTTTAGCTTAATGATGTGTGGATTATTGCATATTTAAAATTTATTCATAAAATTTTAGATTGAATAAAAAGGTGAATTTATTATAATTCTCCTTCCTAAAATAATTGGTGGGAAAAAGGGGTAACATCTTTATTTTTTTCCTCTTAATAATAATTAATAAAGTCAAGAAGTTAAGAATATCTAGAAATTTGGTGAATTGTTAAAATATAAAGGACCAAGAAGTACCTGCAAGCTCATTAAAGTTATAATTGTTCAAATATAAAATAAAGGACCTAAAATTTAATACTATCTACAAGTTTAGTGGTTAGAACGCTGATGTTACATATCCTATATATAAATATATATTTTTTAAATCTTTTTTATATTTTTTATTTTACTTTTTCATTACTTAGAGCATAGATATAAGATATTTTCAAAATATTTAAAGATAAAAGATTTTCAAAATATTTAAAGATAAAAGATGAGTTCGACTTTAATTCCAATTTTTTCATTAGAGAGTTTGATTGTAATTCAGATTTCTTTATCAAATTTATATCTTACCCAAGGATATTAGTATACTAATATTAGTTATAATATTATTATTGACTTCACTCATTAATCACATTACAAATATCAAAAATCTCTTAAATTATGTTATATTATCAATTGATACACTAATTAGTGGTATATATAACATTATTCTAGTTCAAATCTCAATTTTGGAAGGAACAATGATTGAGAATTCTAATAAAGGAGTTCTAATGAGCTCTAATGGAAATGAGTCTCACTATGATGTAATGTTTTAGCCTTATTTTTTTTTCTATTCTTTTGTGGTGTTTTGGAAAGTTAGTAAAAAGTTAATTTTTTGATCAACAATGATAGAGACCACTAATTTTGAAGCTCTAAAAAGACCACTAATGACATGGCACTCAATAAAAAAAGAAAAAAAATACAACATCAAGGCTAAAATATCAAATCATTCCTGATGGGGCCCACTACCACATCATTAGTGATAGCACTAATTAGTGCTCTCACTCATTTTCCTTTTTTGATTTTTTAGTCTATTTTATCTTTTTGTAAGTGAAAAATGTGAGAGGTGATATGACCTAAAATGAGTAAAAAGTTAAAAATTAACTTTTTATTTGATTGCCAAAGCACCCCATTATTAGAGCTTAATTAAAGCTCTAAAATTAACAAATATATCATCGCTCTTTAGGAAAATTGTTCAAACATAAAAGACATACTAAAAATTAAGAATATATAAAATAAATAAATAAAAAGGAGTACTTTTCTAAATAATACAGTACTATTTTGAGAAGTTGACAAAAAATTAGGTTATTTTGAATAAAAAAATTGACTTTTTAGACTATAAAAATTAAAAAGTTAAAAAATTAACTTTTGATCATTGTTTTCAAAAAAAACCTCCACAAATAATAAAAATAAAAAATAAATATTTAAAATTGTCACCCAAAGAAAAAGTTAGTACTTTTCTTTGTGCCATTTTAGCCCCGTCACATCATTTTTTCGGATGACAGATTTTCATTTTTTTTTAATAATTTAATTCCACATGCCTAAAGTGAAAACAGTAACACTTATGTACTTAGGCTTGGTTTGACATTTTTAAAAAAAATTAGAAAGTCACTATTCTATTTACATCATATTATCTTATTTAAATTATATCACTTTTCTATCACATCATTTTAAATTTAACTCATATTTTTTAAAAAATTAAAAAATACACTTATTTAGGACATTCAAAGAACCTTAATTTGTAAATGTAAAATGGCACACACTATTTATTTTATTTGAATTTTTGAAAAAAAATTATAAATAAATAAATGAACAAAGAAGTAACGGTGAGGTTGGACAGCTATAAAAAGAAGAGTTAAATAACTTATTAAATTTTTTATAAGATATATAAAAAATTTGGTAAGAAATTTTATAAATTATTTAGAGTTGATAGCAATTTCCTAAAAAGAAGGCCCTCCTTCTCCCAGTAAAAATGTACAATCAGCTGTTCGTTCGTTACAGAGAATCTCGAAAAACCGTTTCTTTCTCTTTCTTGACTCTCTCTCCCTCTCTCTCTCTCTCTCTCTCTCTCTGTCTCCAGTTTCTCTCTCTACCTCCATGGACGACCAAAGCAACTCCACCGCCACCAAAAACAACAGCAACAGTGGACAGTTAGAGACGAGCAAAGCAGAGAGAGCGGTGTGGCTTATGAAATGCCCTCCCGTGGTCTCTCGTTCCCTGCAATGCCCTCCTCCCTCCTCCGACGCCTTCGACTCCTCTCGCCCCGTCGCCAAGGTCGTTGTCTCCATCGACCCCCTCCGCTCCAATGACGACTCCTCTTCTCGTCAGGTACTCCCTCTTTTCCCTCCGTTTCTAGGGTTTTCAATGCTGTTCTGTTTTTGCATGCTCTTTCTTTTTTATCTCAATCTCTGTTTTTTTGGTGTTTGAATGCGTATGTTTATTAATATATTCAGTTGGTTTTTAGACTGTTTGTTGGAATGAGAGGTTTGTTCTGTTGTAATGGTTGTCAAGCTGTTTCTTTGTTTTAGGCTCTGTTTGATTAGAAAGAAAATTTGTTTGAATGTGAAAGAAAAGGAAGGAAAGGAAAATATATTTTCTTGTAAACATTTTATTAGGATGAAATTTTTGCAGAAAAAAGATAGAGAATTTTTTTGTAATTTTAATTATAGGTAACCCCTTGCATGGACAATTTTTATTTTATTATTGTTATTTGTTAGAATAGTAGAGAGAGAGGAAAATATTATGTATTGTATATATTCAATGTAATCAATATAATAGGAAAAGCCTGTATATATAGGCCAAGAAACCTAGGTGTATAGGAATATAAGAGACCTAAACATAATAGGAATAGAAAACAAGTGTCCTAAGTATAATGTATAATAGATAACAACTAACACCTCTCTCAAGCTCAAGGTGGTAAGGCAGATAGCAACTTGAGCTTGGCGAGTAGATCAGAGAAACGTCTTGGAAGATGAGCTTTGGTGAAGAGGCGGTCTGATCAGCAGAGGTAACAAAGAGAAGACGAACAGTGCTCTTAGTAACATGCTGGCGTACGAAGTGGCAATCTATCTCAATATACTTGGTGCGATCATGGAAGACATCGTTATGTGCAATCTGAATAGTACTCTGGTTGTCACAATAAAGATTAGTGGCAGCAGAATGAGAAACTCCCATATCAGAAAGAAGCCAACGAAGCCAAACAAGCTCTTGAGTAGTGTCAGCAAGAGCACGATACTCGGCTTCGGTACTAGAACGAGCAACAAGAGTTTGCTTCTTGCTACGCCAGGCAATGAGAGAGTTGCCTAAGAAGAAGCAGAACCCAGTAGTGGAACGACGGTCAATAGGATCCCCTGCCCAATCTGTATCAGAAAAGGCATGAAGCTGTAGAGAAGACTGTGCGGAATAGTGAAGACCATGAAACAGAGTGCCTTTGAGATAGCGCAAAATGCGAATCAGAGCATCATAGTGTGGAGAACGAGGGGCAACCATGAATTGACTGACATTATGAACAACATAAGCAATATCTGGATGAGTAACCGTGAGGTAGACAAGATTGCCAACTAGCTGACGATATTTTGTGGCATCAGACAATAGGGAACCTTCAAGAGGTGTAAAACAAGTTTGATGATCAACAGGGGTTGTGGCAGTCTTGCAATCGGTAAGGCCAGCACGAGCCAAGAGATCAGAAGTATACTTGGCCTGGTTAAGAAAGTAACCAGATGAATCTTGAGAAATTTCCAAGCCAAGGAAGTAGCTAAGCAAACTCAAATCTTTCATTTCAAATTGGCAACGGAGAAACTGTTGGAGACTAGAAATACCCGCGGGGTCATCTCCAGTGATAATCATATCATCCACATATAAGAGAAGGAGAATAGTACCACGCTCCGTCTTGCGTATAAACAAGGCAGAATCATGGGCACTGGAGGAAAAGCCAAAGTCACAAATGGTAAAGCTGAACTTAGCAAACCAAGCACGCGGAGCTTGTTTCAAACCATACAAAGCTCAACGATGTTTGCAGATTTTGTTTGATAGAACAGAAGAACCAGGAGGAGGTTGCATATAAACTTCCTCAGTGCGATCACCATTGAGGAATGCATTCTTGACATCTATCTGATAAAGACTCCAGTGGCAAGCAGCAGCTGTGAGGCCCCTGACTTTTTTGTAAATCTTATTAGGTCCCTAGACTCTCCCTTGACTGCAACCTATAGTGTAGAATCGGGGCGTCACAGCAGCCACTTCAAGTAAGTTGTGAACGGAAGTAAGACGAGCAACAGGAGCAAATGTTTCTTCATAGTCAATGCTATACTCTTGAGTAAGCCCTCGGGCGACAAGGCGAGCTTTATAACGCTCAATAGAACCATCTGAATGAGTTTTGAGCTTGTAAACCTATTTGCAACTAACAGTACTCTTGCCAGGAGGAAGATCAACCACATCTCAGGTATGAGTTTTATTGAAAGCCTGCAGTTCATCAGTCATAGCTTGTTGCCAAAGAGGGTAAGAACAAGCTTCTTGACAGGAAATAGGTTCATGAGAGGAAAAGGTAGTGGAACCAACAATATAATCATGGAGAAGAACAGAAGGTTGCCTTACCTGTGTGGAATGACGTTCTGGTGGAGGAGGAACCTCAGCAGACACAGGATCTTCAGGATAGACAATAGGCGTAGGCGGTTGTGAAATCATGGAGTTAGAATCTGCCTCAAAGTCATCAAAAAATAGGTCTATAGAGAGATCAGTAAAGATTGGTGAGTGGGTGGACTGTGGCAAGTGAAACTTGGAAAGATTTGAGAACATTTTGTGTTCCCAGAATACCACATGACGAGAAATACGAAGTCGTTTGGAGATAAGATCCCAACAACGATACCCTATGAAACACGGACACGAACACGCGACACGACATGGACACGCAAAAACGCAAATTTTTAAAAAATAGAGGACACGACATGCTGGGGACACGTTCAATATATATAATTAATTTTATTTATTATATGTCATAAAATTATTAAAAAAATCATTAAAAGGTAATAAAATATACAAAATAACACTATTAAAATTATAAAAAATAAACATTTAATTGATTTAAAAATTGATTCCTATAATAAAATTAATAAACATACATTATTAAAATTATATACTCAAATAATAGAAAAGAAAAAATAAAATCAGAATATAAAAGAAAAAATAAAATAAAATCAAAATAAAAGAAAAAAGAAAAAATAAAATAAAATAAAATAAAATCAGAATAAAAGAAAAAAAAATAAAAGAAAAAATAAAATCAAAATAAAAGAAGGGATAACATCGACAGAGGCTGAGAGAGAGAGAGAGCGACTGAGGGAAATCGAAAAAGAATGAAGATCGAAGATCGAAGAAAAAGTGGTGTACCTTAACGACGAAGGGCGAGAGACGACTGACGACCGACGAGGAGCGACGACCGACGAGAAGAGAAGACGAACGACGAACGACAAAGTCCAGGTCCTCTCTTTCTCACCCTTTCTCTGTTGTTTCTGTTCTAATCGACGAACGACGAAGTGGATTAGGGCAAATTTTGATTTGTTTTTACTTATTTACAAATTGACCCCAAATTTTTTTTGTAAATTGTGAAATTACCCCCCGAACGTGTCTATAGCGTGTCCTGAATGTGTCCGGATGTAAAAAAATTAAAAAAAAAGGGGACACTCTTTGCTGCGTGTCGGACACGTGTCCACCGCGTGTCCGACGCGTGTCCGACACGTGTCTGACACTGGTACGGAGCCCTCAGAGAGGTGTCCGTGCTTCATAGAAGATACCCTTTATGTTCTATACCATACCCTAAAAACAGCAAAGACGAGAGCGAGGTTCTAGTTTAGTGTGTTTATGAGACTGAAGTAGAACAAAACAAGCAGAACCAAAAACTTTAAGAGTGGTATAGTCAGGAAGAGAACCATACAAGCGCTCGTAAAGGGAAGGATTAGCTATGACAGATGTAGGTACACGATTTATGGTGTGGATGGCAGTGAGGGCAGTTTCCCCCCAAAACTGTTTAGGACAAGAAGATGAGATGAGAAGAGCCCGGGTAGTGTCTAGAATATGACGGTGCTTCCTTTCGGCTCGTCCATTTTGTTGGGACGTGCCTGCATAAGAGCGGTAAGATAGTGTACCATTAGCCCGAAGAAAAAACAGAAATTTAGAATCCAAGTACTCCTTAGCATTATTAGAACGAAAGATTTTAATAGTACGAGAAAACTAAGTGCGGACCATAGCAGAGAAATCATAATAAATTTGTTTAAGTTCAGATCGGTTTTTGAGAAGAAAAAACCAAGAATAATGAGAAAAGTCATCAACAAAAATCACAAAATATCTTGACCCCCCCAAGGTCGGTGTGGGGGAAGGTCCCCAAATATCGGAATGCACAAGATCAAAAGGAGCAGTAGACATAGAAGTATTATTATTAAAAGATAAAGTAGGTTGTTTAGCAATTTGACAAGATAAACAATCGATATCATCAAAACAGACACGACCTAACTGACCACTAGAAACTAATGTTTTCAAACGACTAAAAGAGACATAGCCTAAGCGACAATGCCAAAGCTGTAAAGAAGACAAGGCAGAAGTAGATGCAGTAGAGGAAGCAATGGGAGCAGCAGTACATGATGTGTGGAGAGCAGCAGTAAATGATTTGTGAGGAATGCGAAGATAGGTAAGCTCGAACAGACGTCCATGCTTATGGCCTATCCCAAGGATCTGTCTCGTCTGAGGGTCCTGCACCAAACAACCATTAGCAGAAAAAGTAACGGTTAGACCAAGTTCACATTACTGACCAACAGAAATAAGGTTCAACTGAAGAGCATGAATGTGATAAGCATCAGAAAGAGACACAGAAAAAGTAGAAATGTGACCAGTATGACGGACAGTCATATGAGAACCATCAGCAGTGTGTATGATGGGGACAGAGGACGATGATGATAGAGAAGAAAACATAGTGGAGTCAGAAGTCATATGATTACAACATGCGGAATCAAAATATCAGGGAGAATTACCTGAAGTCACTGAAAGAGCAGTAGAGGGAGGAGTATCGGATTTGGTAAGCACCTGTTGGATGATGGACTGAACATCATCCATAGAGAATGAAGAAGTAGCGGAATCAGTGGAGGGGTGATGCTGGAAATTTGTGTTAATGTATATAATATGATAGTGGTGTTGGTGGTAGATAGTGGCATGTATAGAATATGATAGTGGTGTTGGTGGTAGATAATGGCATGTATAGAATATGATAGTGGTGTTGGTGGTAGATAATGGCATGTATAGAATATGATAGTGGTGTTGGTGGTAGATAATGGCATGTATAGAATATG